AATTGTTGCCCCTGCCCCAATACCATATTCTGACAGAGTTACACCATCTTCAATTTTACTTTCACTAAAAAGGAGTTCTTGCATTCCCCTGCTTATCCTCACTATGTCTTCTATTTTTTCTTCACCTTCCAAATGACGTCTGAGCTCAAAACCTCCAGCATAAAGTGTCTTTCTGTTACATACTTCACTCTAATCTGCATCCCTCCAAAAAGGTCAAGTAATAGAAGTAAAGTCGACTCCTGAATGATACCATTGTCAAAACTATCACCACCCTCAAGCTGCTTCCTTTCGAAAATTAATATTTGTTGACTTGGTGGGATTCTTTGACATGGATCATCTCCTTCACATCCTTAATTGAATATGAACATGACAAATGAAGTGGAATAGTCCAACCCGTGAGGATTTTTAGGAAGATTTGCATCCCATCTTTCCACCGAGTTTTGTGTTGGGCCTTTTTGTAGAGTCTAGTTTTGTGCATGCGATCTAGACGATGATTCGACCCAAAATAATGTTGCGTGGTTTTTAATGAAAATTTTTTTACCTCTTGGGGGTTCGGAGGGCAATGCCCCTGAGAAAAAAATTTTGGGTCTGTTTTATAGCATGGTACGCAGAACATATAAAAACTTGTTACTTTGATGATTAGAGTTTGAGTGTAACAGTATAGCCGCCCTCTGTATTCCATTCTCTCAATAATGAAACCCCTGCAACTTCGTGAACGTAGGCAAATTATCGAACTACATAAAATCTGTATCTCTTGTTTTTTCTTGCTTCTCATTGTTTTATGTTTTTGATTTGTTTTTCAATTGTGTATGTTTATTTATGGATTTAAAGCGCATTGTATCCCAACATTTTGGTCATTTTGGTAGAATGTTTATTTATGGATTTAAAGCGCATTGTATCCCAACATTTTGATCTACCATTTGAAAGAGTTCAATGTCAGCAGCAAACCACGTTACTATTAAAAAAAATACAGTCCTAACGGTAAAAACAAAGCTGAAAATGTTCGGAAAGCTAAAAACGAATCCCAAAAATGTGATGGAGATAGCCGAATCTAGATGATACACACACAGATAGATACACATGACACCTGAGCTCACAAAAATTGGATACAAAAGAAACTTGCCTGGCCTATACGGTGCTTGTAACCCACAAAATCAAGTTTTCTTCCCTTGGCCAGAGATCCAGACGCGAATGACACTCAGGACCGTGGGAAATAAAACCTCATAAATAGATTTTAAACTCAAGCAAAACAGATTCTAAACTCAATGTACTATGAAATAAACCGGTGCAATAACATGAATAAAAAAAAATCCAGAAAACGTTGTTTACTAAGATCAATCGAGAAGACAAATCAAAATATAAAATGAACGAAGATCGCGTTGGTTATTACAAGGAGAAGTGAGTCATGCTCTGTGATCTCTGATTCCTTCACTTGTTGCACAACAAACATAGAAAATTCACCGTTTGAATAGCAGGGAAAACAAAGTTTGAACGCGATGTAGTAAGATTAACTGAGAAGAAAATGAAAAAATAGTAAAATTTACCAAAATCAATTTCGTTGTTACTAGGAGAAGGGAGCCCAGCTCCTCCATCTCTGACTCCCTCACTTTTTGCACAACAACAAGGAGTTTGATGGAATTACAGTGAAATTCAGAAGAAGCTAATGGAAACTGAGCACCAAACAGCTTGTGAAGATATGAACGAGTAGCGAAATGCAATCTTTCATCAGCTCACCTTGTTGATGAAAGATAGTTTTGGAATGTAACCCGATGGTCACCTTGTCAATTAAGCAGAAATGGAGGCAACGCCAGTTTTAACCTCATTGCTCGGGCAGAGCTGGAGTTCTTCCACAGTGGGGGTAACGATCAGGGTTGAAGAAAACTATAGAATGATAAAAATAAAACTTCGTTGCGCTTTACGACCAAATGGGTAGTATGCCTTCAATGATTGGATTTAGATCAAATTTTGAGTGACCAAATGCGATCTAAAAACTCTTTCATTTGAATATTCTTTGAAAACACATTTATAAATTTGATTTGATCATCAAATATATTTTGTTTAAATAGTTGACATCCTATAACTTATATATGTGAAATCCAATTGAATTTGTTGTTAATTAAGATTTTAACAAACTATATTTTGGTTTCCATTCAAGTAGATAAACTAACAATCAATTTCATTGTATACCGATAGACGCTAGTTGGGGTATGCATGTTTTGTACGCCAACTATTTTGACTTATTTGTAAAAAAAAATAGATAAATTGAATCAATTTTCTTTATATGGAGTTGGTTATATATTACATGATAGTTATTGAATTTTATGGGGTTCACTTGTTCACCTTGTTAGTGGATGGTTACACAAAGTGGCCCTGCTGCCGTGGGATAACTGTTATGCTCAAAATTTTTCTCGTATTTTGGGTTTTATAAACTGAATTGCATAAAATTACAAAAAAAAAAATGAATTGCATTGCATTGTATTTCATTTAAAACTCTAATGTTTAACTTTAACAAACAATTAATAGATTGATGATTACTGATTTCTTGGACAAATAAGCAATTACTACAATACGTTATTATTATCTTTTTATTTGTTAAGGATAGTATTAACAATTATATTTTTTTGACAAGAATTGACATTCAAAAGTAGTATATAAATTATTAGATATATTCAAATATTTATTTTTTAGCGAATTTAAATATGCACTACGTACTTGTAAACATATACAAATATATGATATAATTTGGTGATTATTTGATAAAATTGAGTAAAAATTTATGTTCTAAATGTTAAAATCATCTCTAATCAACATATTCAAATCAGAATTGATATCTATTTTAACAGACTCATATATGTCCTGTGAAAAATAATATTCATTAGACAATTAAATTCGATTTGGATCACATTGTTCTAATCAAATTGGATCAAATTTATATTATTTAGAAAGAAGATAATCAAAAGTCAATCAATGAATTTATTAGTTAAATTAATGGAACTAATAAAAAAATAAAAAATTCCTCAAAAAAAGATGAAGTAGATATTATAGAATTTTTAAAAAGTCACTTAAAAAAAAGATAAAGTAGACATTATAGAATTATTGAAAGACGAATAAAAAAATTAAAAAAATTTCACTTAAGTTACTTTTATTAGTATAAAAAAAGATAAAGTGGACATAAAATTTTTTAAGGATAAATAAAAAAATCAAAAAATTTTCTCTTAAGTCATTTTAAAAAGTATAAAATAGACATTATAAAATTATTGAATGATAAAAAAGAAAATCAAAAGTTTTCACTTAAACCACTTTTATTAGTAGTATAGATGGATTGATAAATATAGATTATTAGTAATATAGATACAAATATAGAAGTAAATTGAATTGAATTATAGAATTTTGGCATAGTATTCAAGATCTAAATTGGTAAGTATTGTTATATAATCGATTTGGACTCAAACAATCGATCAATAATATTAATTCATTCGGACGTATCAAATTCAGAATTAAATCGGATTTATATCAAAATTTGATATATTGGGCCTGTTTGGAGCTTATTTTATTTAGGTGAAAAGTTGCGGTTTAAAAAGCTTTATAAAAAAAATTATAGTTAAAGAAGTCCCCCAAAATAGTTTGAGTGCTATTTAATAAGTAGAATAAGTTGAAAAAATTCGTTTGAAGTGACTTTTTAACTTTTTTGAATTTTGTCAAAATAAAAAAAATAATTATATTACATGTATATATAGATTATGCATAATCTAAACATCATTAATAATATTTTATAGATATAATAAATTACAAATTTTATGTGAGACTCATGAGAAAACTCCAAAAAATCAAAAAACAAAATCATAAAATTAGCTTGTTGAATATACCTAAATAAACTTTTTTGGGTCAAAAAACTCTCGCTTAAGTTTGTAAAACACTCAACGTCCAAACGGATCTTACTTATTTTACTCCAAACAAGCTCATTGACAAACATAATTTTTAATATATGAAAAAATCTCATATGATATCTAATATATGAAACTATTCTTAAATTTTTAATAATTTTTTCAATGAGAGCAAGTTTTTAAAATTTATAAATTTCTTAAAATTTCAAAAATACCCCAAAAATTTTTGAGTTTCAATGAGTCACCACTGAATCTTGATAATTTTTTAGAGTCAAGTTGTTAGAGATTAAATCTTTTATGAATATTCTAATTTCAGCACGAATTACTTGTATTTGGCCAGATTATAAAGGAAATTAATCAAAGTGCTCATAAACTGATCCAAACACTTTACACGAAAAAAAAAAAAAAAATAAAAGCAAAGAACTTTGTTATCCAAGCAATGGGTCAGCTTTACCTAGCCCATCTGCCAATAACCCATGGTAGGCCATAGGCCGGGTCAACCAAAAAGGAAATCCTACAACCCACGTCCTTTTTGGGCCAGATATCAATTTAATGTTAGGGAATGCAAGAAAAAAAAAGGTATAAATAATGTGGCAATTGATATGTAAAATTTAAATAAAAAGTAAAATAAAAAATATATTATTAGAGTGTCACACCATTGGTCTTTATTTTTAAATCATTGTAATTATAATGGGTGATTTTATTACTGAATACTTGAAACGTTTTCGAGTTCACATTTGGTNGTGTCACACCATTGGTCTTTATTTTTAAATCATTGTAATTATAATGGGTGATTTTATTACTGAATACTTGAAACGTTTTCGAGTTCACATTTGGTGTGTAACCCCGTCGGAACAATCTTGTATTGCATGAACCAGTAGCTTTTAGGCACGTCCCTACGGTCTTTATTTATCTATACAGTTTGTTTGACTTTATTTGACGTGGCAACTTTCAATTGGATTTTCATTGTTGGCAGTATGACTGTTGTCAACACCCAATAAAAACTCTAATTTTCGGTGCCTCTGTCTTCGTGAAGCAAGATTCTCCACAAATTTCTCCTCCTGCGAAAGACTTTTACGTACTTTCCATTATTCTTTTTCCACTTTACTTTTGGCGCTCTCTCTCTCTCTCTCTCTCTCTCTCACACACACACACACACAGTCATCTCTCTGTTTTCACCCAGAAGAGCTTCAGTACTTGTTCTGGAACTAGCAGATCGGAAGATTAAGCAAAACAGAAGTAACGACAGTTGGTGGTAGAGATGGGTGCTTCTGGGAATAATGTTTTTGCTGTTTTGGCCAATAATATTGATGTCATTGCTGGGTATGCAATGGATGTCTCTTCTAGCACTGCCATAACTATGAGTATTATGACTATATATGCTCTTTGCCTCATTATTTACTGCATAAGATATTTAATAATTAGACCCTAAATTTTCTTGGAATTCACTGACATGGTTGTGATTCAATTGTAATGGAACGTTTGATTTGGTTTGGGATTGTGTTATAGATGTTTTTGCTGACCCATGTTCTTTGTGTCTGATTTCTAGGCCTGTGATCTCTCTTGCCTTTCCTCTGTAAGTTGGGTTCTTGCACTGTTTCTTCATTATATATTTGTCTATGTTGGAAAGTTTATGTACAAATATCCAGTCTTATTTTTAAACGACGTGGGATTGTAACAATGATAAAAACTTTAATTTATGGGCAGATCTCTGTTATTTTATTCTTAACTTAGTAGGCAGCCTGATTTCTACTCCATTTTTGGGGAAAGAGAGAGAGTGGAAGAATAATTGAAAAAAGGTTAACAAGAGAAAATACCAAAGAAGAAGTTGTAATTTGTCTCTTTTTTGGTACAATTTTTCACTTCTCGTTTATCAACATGACGAAAGAAGAGAATAAAAACCAGAACTTTCCCCTCTCCTCTCTTTCTTTGTCTCCATACCAAACATAGTGTTATTATTTTGGGTGTGTGATGAAGAATTCATCTATAAAGTTGTGGTTTCATGGTTTGAAACTTTTACAGGTATGCTTCTATTAGGGCTATTGAGACCAAGTCCCGTGCTGATGATCAGCAATGGCTTACTTATTGGGTTCTGTATTCTATGATCACACTTTTTGAGCTTACATTTGCCAAAGTACTGGAATGGTGAGCTTGTTTCAGTTTTAAATTTCTGTTCTGTTGTTAAATGATAGTGATCCTTGCACAGGGCAGAGTCACCAGTGTTAGGGAGAAATATAATCAATTGCATTGCTGAATGTATGCCAATTTTGACATCAAGTTAGCTTATGATATGACCTATATTGAGTGATCCCAAGCTTGACATTTTTAAGATTCCCTGCGTTGCATACGCCATTGTTAATTACATTACATCCTTGAATTATTTCTTACTCTGAAGTTTGGCTAATACACCAAGGTAATTCCAATTTCTTTACTAGGATTTGGGGTTATCTTATTTTGGAAAAGTGGAATTGGTAACATACACTTGTTTTTCTTGGGATTTGAAAGTAAATTGGTTACCTCTGTTTAGTTCTGATTGAGGTTTACTTTGACAGAAGACGAGTCCTTTATGTTTTTCATGGGAGTCTATACTTGAAATTGAACCATCATCTTTTCCTTACCTTTTGATTGAGTTTGTTAACAATTTTTAGTTATTCAATATATATTATGTTTCATATTTTCATAAAGTGATTATGCTGATGAGCCCACATTGCTCCACCATTTGTTTTTACTAAGATACTTAAAATAGGATGAAATTATGCAAGTTTTCTAAGTGAATAATTCCTCAACTCAACGTGGTTAAAAATNAAGTGATTATGCTGATGAGCCCACATTGCTCCACCATTTGTTTTTACTAAGATACTTAAAATAGTATGAAATTATGCAAGTTTTCTAAGTGAATAATTCCTCAACTCAACGTGGTTAAAAATTGTAGTTCTTGAAGAATCGATTATTAATTTTGGTATGCCGAGTTCTAGGTGTTTTTAGGGTTCAAAGTACTTTCTATCCCTTTCCCCAATCTCTTCTTCCTCCTTAGATGACCATATGAAGTGCACAAAAAACTAAATTAAGCAAAATGTTGTTTCTCCACCAGGGAAATCCCAAATTTGATGCCGCATTTTGTATTTTCCTCTATACGGTGGCAAGCAGGCACAAAATTTTATGAAAGTTGAGAATCAATTCAACTCAAACCTGCTGAATTTGCAATGTGTTTATATGTGCCCTGAGCTTGTAGGTGTGACCTTTTAAGTGGTAGAAACTAATAGCCTTCTCAGTAGTTGTTTTTCGTCTCAATGTCAGGTTCCCCATTTGGCCTTATGCTAAACTGATTGCTACATGCTGGTTGGTCCTGCCTTACTTCAATGGAGCATCCTATGTTTATGAGCACTTCATTAGACCTTTCTACAGGAACCCACAAGTTAAGATCTGGTATGTCCCTCGTAAAAAGGATATTTTCAGTAAGCCAGATGATATTCTAACTGCGGCAGAAAAGTATATGGAAGAAAATGGAACAGAAGCATTTGAAAGGCTCATAAGCAGGGTATGCGCTAGGTTCATAACGTATTAATTTTGCTTTATTATATAGTTTCATTTATACATTTCATTTTTAATGCGTCTAGGTTAACATCATGGCCTACTTTTTAATTAATGATTAGCTACATGTTGCTAAAGTGTTTGGTCATTGCCGCCATTCCTATCCTAAATGAATAATCTCAGTTAGTTGGAAAGGTAAAGAAAGTGATCAATGTTTTTCAAAGTAAAGGTAAAGAAAGTGATCAATGTTTTTCAAAGTATTTGGTGATGTGCATCGATTGTACAAAGACAATTATTCCATTATTAGGTTTATGAAAATAAATGAAAATGAGAAAAACACTGGAATGATTCACACATTTGAATTTGATTGCATAACTTTGCAAATAGGCAGCTCAGTGCACAAAAATTTTAGAAGTCCCACTGTTTGTTTACATTTCAAGCTATCATAACAACCATGCTATTTGGAAAGTTAGTGATAGGTTCAAAGCCATCAGAAGTTAAAAGGATTTGTCTGTTTAATTTTTGGTTTGATTAAACATTGGTCTTCATGGGTTTCAGTTTTTCAGGAGTGGTGAGCTAACTGTCTATTATGCAAAGGTTCTGCACTGCTGTTTGCCTGTTTAATAAAAATATCAAACCTGGCCGGTTTGGTCAAGCATTCATCGCAAATTACTTCATTCCCGACATGCCATATTGTCCTGCACACTAACTTCTATTTAATAAGAATAGGATTCATTTTTGAACATCCATTGTTGATTATATTCTTAGCATCTGCAATTGGGTCTATGCTGCTTTTGTCATTCATCTTCTCGAAAGTTGAGAATGAGATGTTAGGAACAAATTATATATTTTTCCTGTTTTCCTAAATTCAATTGCAGTTACACCACAAGGCACTTTTGCTATTTGCTATTTGCTATTTGCTATTTGCTATTTGCTATTTGCTATTAGCCAAACATTTCAGATTTCATTTTCCGACTTCTGTAAAAATTCCATACCACGTAAGATTTCCAGCTTCCCCATTAAATTTTGTTTGTCTTCTTAATTATCAAATGTTTCCAGCTCAAAATAATTTTAAATCTTGCTAGAAAGCAGTGGTTGTTCTTGATGAATATATGAGTTGACAGGTTCAGTTTTGTTTTTCTTTTGTCATTTGCAGGCTGATAGAGAAGCAAGAGCTAGAAGGAGTGACTACATGCTCTTTGATGGTGAAAATTACTACGAATATTGAGCCGTGTTTTCTGTGTAAAGTTGGTACTTCAGTTTGCCGTCTTTGTTACTTGATATCCACCTCTACGACATTCAGAAGCGATCAAAATGTTTATATTATGGCATGAGATTGGAAAATGACATTCTCCTTTTTCCTTATTTCAGTACTCATGGTTTGTTGAAGGGGATAACATTGTTGCTTGAGGGCAAAATACAGAACATTATCCTAAGTTCAATCTGAATTTTCATCATCCTTGTTGGTTTTGGCCCCGTCAGCTTATATTTATCTCTGCATCTCCCCAAGTTTATAGCATCCAAAAATGAAAATGTTGCTAGTGATTTGTGGAACGAACCCGCGCGAGTTACATTTATACCTGTTGTATTAATATCAATATGATTATTAATCATGTCCATTTTACTACGACAAAACAAACTGGATCATGTGTTTCTGATCCTCTGTTTCATTGCTGGAAAATGGATAAGAAGGAACCAAAGAGAAATGGAAATTTAGGAAGGGGAAAGAAAAGAAGGTGATGGTGGCCGGAAATACTAGTCCAAGTTCAGTACCTTGACTAGTTGGCCCGGAGGGGATGCAGAGAAAATGTAAAGAACGGAAATGAATAGAACATTAAGGAGAAATCCAGAATATAATGTAAGTGGTTCATCTTAGTTAAGGGATTAAGACTACCTTCACTGTAAAAGAGTCTCGTTTTTTGAGATTGTATATTACTTGATTTTTGGTGAGCACAATGATGTAGTTGGCTCAAGGCCTTTACAAGAACAATGTTCAGGTAAGTTAGACTGTGTTAATGGCTCGAGAGTGCCAATGAAGGAGATAATCTCTTTTTGTAGTGTAATAGTGTCCTATTTACATAAGTGATCCTTCTAGGGTTTCCTGAAACTTCTTCTTTTCTATTGATTATGGGGACCCTCCACTTTTGTCCTGTAGTGACTTCTGATACACGACACTACTGTGCCCACAATCTCTGAATAATTATGCGNATGTAATAGTGTCCTATTTACATAAGTGATCCTTCTAGGGTTTCCTGAAACTTCTTCTTCTTTTCTATTGATTATGGGGGCCCTCCACTTTTGTCTTGTAGTGACTTCTGATACACGACACTACTGTGCCCACAATCTCTGAATAATTATGCGCAACAATACTCTCTGTATCAAGGAGTGTGTTTGTTATGGGTGTCAAAAGGAGTCTCATTGTCCTTTGGATAGGTGGCGCGATGAGGGTGCTTTAAGATAGGCGTTGAGTTGGATTGGGGCTGGGTTGCAGTCCAAGTCCTCTAGTACCGTTGGCCTTTTTCCTTTGGGCTCGGTCCACTCTACTCTTGGTGTAGACTAGGAGTGTTCACCCTACTCTATGGGTAGGAAATATAGTCTTCCGTCTTCCTATCCGATACTTTGAGAAAGAATTTTTTTTTGGTCTACCCGACCCAATCAGGTGTAATATTCCTACCCGACTTCCTACCTGATTAATCGGGTAGGAAGTCGGGTAAACACTTTTGTAGTTATTAATTTTTGGATCATTTTAATAATTTAATAAAATAACATGCACCAATTTAACAACACAACAAATCAATAACACTAAAACTTAAAACAACATAACAACAATTACAATAAAATATAAAAAAGCATAAACATCAATCCATCATAATTGTTACACAAATACAATAATAATTATTTTAAGTTTAAACCATATGAAACACATTAAAATCATAAATGCTCCAATATATCACCAGTTNGGTCTTCCGTCTTCCTATCCGATACTTTGAGAAAGAATTTTTTTTTGGTCTACCCGACCCAATCAGGTATAATATTCCTACCCGACTTCCTACCTGATTAATCGGGTAGGAAGTCGGGTAAATACTTTTGTAGTTATTAATTTTTGGATCATTTTAATAATTTAATAAAATAACATGCACCAATTTAACAACACAACAAATCAATAACACTAAAACTTAAAACAACATAACAACAATTACAATAAAATATAAAAAAGCATAAACATCAATCCATCATAATTGTTACACAAATACAATAATAATTATTTTAAGTTTAAACCATATGAAACACATTAAAATCATAAATGCTCCAATATATCACCAGTTTACCACAAATCATGTAATATACACAAAAAATAAGTCTATGTTTTTACAACTCAAACATCCACAACAATAACAATGTTATAATATAAATTGTACCACACAAATACTCTTATAATTACTAAAAAAATATAAAAAAATTAAATATATTTTTTGCGGGTAAGGTAGGAATGCGGAAATTGATAGGTGTTCCGCATTCCTATCCGATTTTTGTGGCTAACCGTTCAATAGGGTAGGGTAGGGTAGAGTCAGGTAAAAAATTGCGGCCAATCGAAAATTTGAACACCCTTAGTGTGGACAGGCTGTGGGCGCTCCATTTGGGCCGTTACGTAAGCAATGATTTCTTGAACTCATTGGGCTCTTAGATTATGACGATCCATACTCAAAATCTCATCATTATCAGTTACCTCCTAGCCCTAGGTCACGAGGATGACGTCAGTTCTGACCTGGGTTAAAAACATCTTTTTTGAATTTGGCTTGGTTTCCCTGAGCAGCGGTTGCGCTTGATTGTTGGTTCTGACCTGAGTCGTGTTGTGTTAACCTACGCCGGCTATGATGAAACGGTTATGCACACGCATCACCCATAGGAGAGCGCATTGGTATGGTTTTCTTTGCACGTTTTGTCATATGTCTATCACGAATTAAATGTTATGTATAAAATAGGGAAAATCCCTTTGTCTTTCCCACTTGGAGTTTTTGAATCCTCATCTTTTTGTGCCTTCTTCTTTCCTTCGGATTCTGAGGAGTTTTGTTCCCAGCTCTTCGGCAATTTAGGATTTTTGTGTTTCCGGTTCNTAGGTTTTTGTCCAACCTTTAACGCGGAGGAGGCAACCAAGTTAGCTAGAATTAAAATCAAAATAAAAAGATGAAAAAAATAATAATCATAATCTCTAAATGAAAATCCTTATTTATACAAAAAATAAATCGTAAGTATAAATAGAAGATATAAAGTTGGCTTGGAAGGAATTTCTTTCCAAAAAGAAGTCATGTAAAGTTAAATCCCGTGCATAAAATCTTTGGGGTGTGGGTACAAAATTTATTCAGACTTCGAGCTTGAATCTTGACCAATTTGTTCCACGGTTCGATCTCTCTCCAGGTGGTCCTTCCAGTGCAGCTCCATCATCTGATCATCCTTGAGGATCAAGTTTTTTTTTTTTTTGAATGTAATTTCTTTGACACTTGTAAACATTTTCCTTTTTGCAATGAAGCTCCCATTTTTGCAATGGAGTGTTGTTGATCATTTGTCATGTTCCTTTGCCCCCTTACTTTAAAGAGGTATTGGCCTACTTGGAGTAAGATTTTTTTTTTGGTTATCTTTTTCTCCTGATCTGCTTTGTGTGACCCCGAGCTACTTTATTCTAGGTTGTGTTGTCCCTTAGTCAAGTCTACTCGGCTGTATACTTCAGTGATTTTATGGAACTTTCTTTGGTGACTGTACTTTTCCTAAGTCGAAGTGTACAAATTCATATAAAAGCTCTTTAATGAATAGACTGATGGCCCACCAACTGTCACCTACTATTGTGCTGTTATCATTGATTATTTTCATGATTGCGAAAGTTTAACAGTCACTTGTTTGCTTCTGCATTCTATTTATTTCTTGGTATTTCGAACTCTTCACGTTCTTACTATTTCTCAGAGATCTTCTTGCTTTTTGCTTATTCTTGGAGATCCTTTGCACTCTGCTTGTTTTTGAAACTCATGGCCTCTTCTCCTTCTCCTCTGTTTAAGCAGTGCATGCGTGACATGCTTAATGATTCCTGGTACTCCATTTTTTTGCTTCCCTCACTTCTCGTTGCCTCTAATGTGGTGGAGGTGGGGGAGACGATATGACTTCCTTGATGGCTTGACGGTCATGGCCCTTACTCCCGACGAGCCCTGTAACTTCTCCTCCCAATATGAGGTTTGCTTCTTTGAAGGCTCATTTGAGATGGGCCTTCGCCTTCCTATCCACCCTGGCTTCAAGTGGGTTTTATCCTTCCATGGGCTATGCCCATCTCAGCTTTCTCCTGAAGGGTGGGCCGCTCTTATCAGTNAATATGACTTCCTTGATGGCTTGACGGTCATGGCCCTTACTCCCGACGAGCCCTGCAACTTCTCCTCCCAGTATGAGGTTTGCTTCTTGGAAGGCTCATTTGAGATGGGCCTTCGCCTTCCTATCCACCCTGGCTTCAAGTGGGTTTTATCCTTCCATGGGCTATGCCCATCTCAGCTTTCTCCTGAAGGGTGGGCCGCTCTTATCAGTTTCTTTATTTTCTGGCATTTGTAAGGCTTCAGTGACTTTTCCACTGTTGTTGAGTTCTTCTACTTTTTCAAATTGTCCTTTTATTTCCCCCTGCTTCAGTCAATTCACTTGGAGGTGATTCTTTTGCTCCCCTCTGATCCCTGGCATCCCAAACTCCCCGGAGGGGTGGACCCAACATTTCTTTTTTATTTTCTTGGGACTCTTGGGAGATCGTGTGCTCGGATTCCTCGCTTTTTGAGGCACTTCCAAGACACAGGTACGTAGTTAGGCATTTTACCTACCCTTGATTTGCTAACTTTGGCTTGCACTTGTTGTACTAACTTTGACTATGTCCATGCTATGCTACGCCAGTACCCCCAGCCTGACCCTAGAGGGAATNGATCCCTGGCATCCCAAACTCCCCGGAGGGGTGGACCCAACATTTCTTTTTTATTTTCTTGGGACTCTTGGGAGATCGCGTGCTCGGATTCCTCGCTCTTCGAGGCACTTCCACGACACATGTACGTAGTTAGGCATTTTACCTACCCTTGATTTGCTAACTTTAGCTTGCACGTGTTGTACTAACTTTGACTATGTCCATGCTATGCTACGCCAGTACCCCCAGCCTGACCCTAGAGGGAATGGTTAACGTCAGCCAAATGGCAGATGCTGACCCGATCCCCTATTTTGGCCTTCGTCACTCCTCAGAACCTGATTCGGTTCGGGATTGGGGGCAGTTCGGAGGCTGCTTTGGACACCATTCCGAAGTTTGCCCCTTCTTTCTACGAGTCTGATTCTTCTTCCACCGAAATGGAGGGAGGTGAAGCCACTTCTTCTAGGAAGTGTTGGAGGGGAGACTCGGCATCTCAGTCGTTAAGCTCTTCTCATGAGAGGAGTTTCTTGTCTATTGAGGTGGAGCTCCTTAAAAAGCGGCTAGCTGAGGTTGAGGGAGAAATGGACACTCTGACGAAGGAGAACTCTCATCTTCGAGCTATAAATGCCCAGCTAGAGAGGGGTGACTCCAAACTG